AGAAACTAACATTTCGATAGACCTAATAAAAAATTAACTATTTATTGTTGGTTCATAATTAAATAATTTTTTCAAAAATTGTACGGTACACAAAATGGGAAAGCGTGCATAGAGGGCCATCTAAATATATTTAAAACGGCTCACAGACACATTCACGGATTACTAGGTGAAACTATAGGTTTAAATCGCGAATATGCGTTTTTTGCTGCCATTTCCCATAATTAAGTTGTTTAAAAATGGTAAAATCTTTATTATTAATCCCCTTGGTTTACCAATATTACAAAATTTAATTTTTTTAGCATTCAGCATTATATTTTCAATTGCTGTGAGCATAAAAACATAAGAAATTGCATTTAAAAGTGAGTGATTCCAGTTCCGGAACTAAGTTCAAATAATCGACGCTAACTCACCGTTGCTAGTTTGACGCACGTAAAATTAATGTTAATTTGGAGATACAGATAGCGATGTGCCGAATGGAAGAAACTAATTTTATATAGAATAAACACATTTGCTAACTTTTTTATTAAAATGAGGTGCAGTTTACCATTATATTTTTAAGCAAGTACGATAATCAAATCATTAGTTCAGCCTCTGAGTCTATATTGTTTTTTCTAAACGTTTTTAACTACATAAGTAAAATGACACACAATTCAACAACCGTTTTAAGTTCCACAACCAAACGAAGAGGTGGTCAGCATACCATTTGGACACGAGAAAAAATTTACAAACTAATTGAGCTCTATCGTGCATCTGATTGTTTGTGGAATCATTATTCGGAGTTATACAAAAACAAAGGTTGTCGAAACAAAGCCATAAATCGCATATGCACAGCTCTCGAAATTTCAAAAATTGACTATGGGAAAAAAGTTCACAACCTACGAAACCAGTTTAATTCGGAATTGAAAAAGATTGAAGCACGCTTAGAAAAATCGGGAGGAAAAAAAGTAGTTTCACCAAAAGAACGCCGCTGGGAGCACTTTGAGACGTTGATGTTTTTGAAACCTTTTATTGAACCTCGGCCTGGATATCATCAACCAAAAATCAAGGTTATTCGTATATATTTCCAAACCAGATAAATAAGTAAATTCTTGAATACTTTTTTTATTGTTAGCAGAAAATGGTAAAAAGACATAGGATTTCATCGTTCAACGAAAACACAGAACCTCAAATATCCTCTATAGAAAACCAGCTTGAAGATATTATACAGCTACAAATATTGAGTTGCAAGGACACAACTGACGCCAATGCAAAAGAACAAGGAACTTGTGAAGTACAACGGAGTTCTTCATTAAAAACTTACAGTAGTTCTCCAAGTTTCATTCAGAGCGGAGGACAAAGTTGTGTGGCGCTAACGGAATCTAGACATTCAAGTATTCGGGATCAATGGGATGCATTTGGTGAATTAATAGCAAATGAGTTGCGAAATTTAAACTCTTCAATTTCGCGAAAAAAACTCAAACGTAAAATTATGCAAGTTATGTTAGAAGTAGGTGAAGAAGATGACAACGAGGAAAAAAGCGTCAATTGAACTCGCCCATATCTATTGATTTCATAATAAAAAAATTCATGCAATGAGTCTGCGTTAACAAAGAAATAAGTTCACAGTAAAAAACACTAAACGAATACAACAAATTCTTTAACGATAATAAAAAAATGAATGAAAACTTCTGTCAGGAGCTTTAAATGTGAATCTCCTATGATGCTATGTTTGGGCACCATGACGTACGCTTCGGGATACATAGCATGAATGCAGAAAATTATGTTGAGCTCTCAGATTCAGAACTGATCAATTTTGGAGAAGAATAATTTGGAGACAGTTGTTTCAACACGATAACGCTGTCATGCACACAGCCTTGTTCTCACAAGCTTTTTTCAGTTTATGCAAATGCGAAGCAATAGAAGAAATGTGAAGGACCTAAAAGTCTCTATTGTTGAAGGATGGGCTTAACTGAACCTTCGAATGCTTAAAGTATTATATCAATTCTAGCACGGATTTTCAAAGTTAAAAATAATGGGTGCTCAAGTAAATAATTGTAAGGAAATAAAAACGTAGCTGTTTTTACGATAACCGAGTTTTGATTATGTCTGTTTTGCTTGTTTCTTATACCCTGAACCTATGTAAATGGTTAAAAAGGGTTTAAGTACCTATAAATATAATTTTAATTGGGACTGTAAGTTAATATAAGTAAACGATAAACCACTAAACTATAATACAATGTAATAGTGCTGACCAGGCTGCCCTTGGTCCCTGAATCATTGGCCGCGATCGTCTCGGAAGCGTAACATGCGACTTGCCGACTGGCGTCCAACTACCTGTAAAAACGAAATCCACGGGAAGAATGTTGTGAATTGTGTGTGAATTAAGGTACAAAAATAATTACGAAAAGTATTTATGCGTAAAACGAAAAACAATCCGGGAGTAACATTGCGCAAGTTAGAAGCAAAAGCATATAAAAAAAACAAAAAAAATTAAAAATAAAACGACGATTCTCGCAGCCCTGAGCCAAAATAGAGGCATAAAAATACAAGTTCCATTATCACCAAGCGGAGACGATCTACTAAAACGATAAGAAATTTAAGTAAAAATCTTAACTACTATTTTCTGTAGCTGCCAATAATTAGATTTGATATTTCTAAAATCTCGACTTTTTTATACGATACAGTTGTTCGCCCTATCCTTGCATCTGGTCTCCGCAGTATAACAATAGCCAATCGTATTGATCAGCTCAGAAGCAATTGCTGCTTCTTGCCATATGAAGTATAAATTGTGACCAAAATCTTCGGTTGCCATCTTACTCCAGCAGGCTTCTGATTCTTCATACTCCGTCGTTAACCAACCGTACGATAATCCTCGGTGTTGTCTTCCTACATAAGTTGATTATTGGCGACATAGATTCTTCTTTTCTGTTAGGACGTCTTCAATTCTCTGTTCCGTCTAGATCTACCAGGAATTATCGTCCCTTATTTCTATCTACGTGCACAACCGATTACACCATGCACAAATCTTTTCGGGTGCTATGTAAAATTTACAATAGTTTACTCCCAAATAAAATCGTTGCTTTCAGGATTCCTTCGGGAACTCACTGACCATTTCCATAGCTTGCTGGACAGGCTATAAACTTCTCCCACCGGGTCGGTTATTTCCTATGAGTATTTCTTTATAGTTAAAATTTCCTTACCTTACTTAAAGCCTCTTTATTTTTTTGTTAATGCATTTCCTAAAATAATTTAGTAAATTAAGATTAATTTTAATATTTACTTAAGAACTCTATTTTCTCTACTAACACCGCCCTTTTTACCTGCAAGGGCAGAACTGGCCGGACGGGAAAATAAAACACTTCCATCGGTCGGTGATGCTATTAGAAAATTGTGTATTCTAATTAGGATTTTAGAATTTAATTTTCATAATTTGATGTATAAAATAACTAGGCAGACATTTGATTTTGTCGCCCATTTATAAATAAATAAATAAAATGCTGCAAGTGCTGTTTTTTCTATATCTCTCTCTTTGAGTGGAATTTGGTAAAAATCGCTCTTCATATCGAGCACAGAGAAATAATTTGTCTCGTCCAAATGTGCGATTATTTCTCTGATTTCAAGGATCGGGTACCTATCCGAAATTATTACGCCATTTAGTTTCTTATAGTGGTTGACTATAAGATATTTGTTTTCTCCTGAAGCATCGTTCTTTTTAGGAACCACGCATACGGGTGCATTGTACGGCGACCGTGAAGTTCTTATAATGCCGTCGCCCAAGAACTGATGTAATTGTTATTCTTCTCCCCTTAGAGAAGCAGGATAGGGGTAATGCTTGCTATATACCGGCGAGTCCGATGTCGTTATTAATGTTAATGTTATTGACAGCTTAAGTTGCTAATTGTTTTATTTTAATTCTATAGTTATTATTTATTATAAATAGATCATGTTTGGTCAAATAACAGCAGAGACAACACCGACGGCTGCGGGCAGCATCCAACAGCAAAAGATAACAATCATAATTACAGCCTAAGAGCAAATAGTTTTGCGCGCTCTTTGTAAGCTGCTGCCCACTCTCTTTCGTTGGACCTTTGCTTTCTGCATTGCTTTGCTTTACATTGACTGCCGCTGCGTCTTATTGGAGTTTCGTTTCGTTCGCTTTACATATTGTCATATCAGTTTTTCGTTTGATCGCAACCTAGGCACAACTAATTCGAGTTGTCTGCCAAGCAACAATATACAACTTATAAATTCTAATAAGTGCCCTGCGCGGCAATATATACGTTTGAAAACAAATCTAAGTGTTTGAATTTCGCTGTCACACAAGCAGTGAGTATTAATTAGTTGCAAAAATGCT